TCTGCAAACGGCATATTTAGTTGCTTATTAGTTGCTCATTAGTTACCATATTCCCGATTTTGTAGCTCATTACGTTTAAAAGATACGTGTGATCTGCTAGGTTAAGTCTTAAGCTAGCAGACCATTGCTATATCTTCGGTTCCCGATAAGATATCAGAGTTCTGCAAACGGCATATTTAGTTGCTTATTAGTTGCTCATTAGTTACCCTATTCCCGATTTTGTAGCTCATTACATATAAAAGATACGTGTGTGTGTGAAAATTTTTTTTTATAAAGCTCTTCATTTTACCATTCTTCTTCTAAATATGAGCCCTTAATGTCTATTATTAGTAGGAAATGTACTTTTTGTTTAAAATTTTTTGCAATTTTAAGCATTTCATGTGTATATTTTAAAGATCTCATGTTCAAAATCAAATCTTGAGCATCTTATGCGTATATTTATGCAGATTTTGGTTGACACTTTTCAGTAGTTGTTTTACATGCACTTTTTAGAGTGTACAGGTACAAATGTAACATATTAATTACTATTTATTTTACTTACTTTGCAAAATACTTATGCACGAAAAAATTTAATTAAAAATCGAAATTATAAATGTTTGATTTTATGAAAAATAAAAATATATATACATGTATTTCAAGTCCTTAGCATGGGTTAAATTATGTCTTTTTCTTGAAAATGTTTGGTTTTCTTACGAATTATGAGATGGGTACGTAAAAAAAGAAAATTGGATACATTTGGATACATTTTTGGCTTGGTCAGTAATATATTTTCTTGAGACGGCGCGGCAACACTTGTCGTCGTTTGCTTTGGTTGTGCGCGTTCTCATATACGACAGTGTGTTTTAATTTTTACAGCGAAAATTCGCGGCGAAAAATTCGCCGTTCGCCGGCATTGTGTTTTAGCTGTAACTCAAAATATTTCGTTTTGTTTATTTCACTGCTGCTGAAAAACAAACGAGCGAGCATTCGTGAATCTCCGAATGAGCGAACAAATCGTTTATTTGAATTTCTATTTCATTACTCTCTCAACATCCGCCTTTCAAAAGCATCAGACGCTATGAGTTTTTACTCTCTTATTCTCCTGGCTCAGATCAAGGCGAATTTATACAAGGTGGTGTTACTAGCTCAGCTGATTTTGTGTATGTGTTTCGCCGCACGGCTTCTGATATCAAATTGAAAAATTTTGTTTGAATTTCTACACACACTCTTACAGATTTTGACAGTTTTGATCATTTATAATTTCGATTTTTAATTGAATTTTTTTGTGCATAAGTATTTTGCAAAGTAAGTAAAATAAATAGT